ATAAATAATAAATTATATGTATTATATATATAATTTAGTACAGACACTCATGAAAGACGATTTCCAGAACTGCTTGAGAAAGTGTCAAGAATGATAGGATACATATGTTCAAAGTCAGGGAGGATATTTTGAGGGAGATAAATGACAATGTGTCATTTACTGTAATACATTTTTTTAAACATTTAAGCATTCACGTCATATTTTAATCATTCTCGCACATACCTATAATGAAATTTAGTTTATGTTAGCAAGTGAGATATCAACAATAAAAGTAAAATAATTATACAAATGTACTATAATAAAAGTTATGTAAATGCTCTCTTTCACAAAATGCCTTAATTATTTCTTGCATTGTAATAATATTTTCAGACTACAATTGATCTGAAATTGAGTTCGCAGATGGAGGAGCAGGGCTGTTGTATTTCTTAAAGGGCTATAAGACTAAATAATTCATAACTTATTTATATGGTATGGTTTATGTGCTGTTACTTTAAAAATAAAATAATCCAACCTTGAGGCCTTAAAAAGTTCCCCTTAAAAACAGTTCAAATTCTATGCATATTTGGGCAACAGCGGATACAACTAAGGCCCAGAGAAGGGATATTTTCCTCACATCATGTAGTGAGCTATTGGCTGAGCCAGAAACATACACAAAAGAGCAGTTTTGCAAACTCTCGGTGCTGTGTTCTCTCCACTGTGGCACACAAATGGCCTAAATTCAAGAGAATCTATTTTGATATAAACTCTGTTCTTTGTCAATGGAGAACTGATCTATGATCATTTAAAAATAATCATTATTGGGTAAATTATTCCTTTCGATGCTGATTCAAGTCAAAATGCATTTCATGTTTTTGTTGTTGTTGTTGTTGGTGTTGTAATAATTCTCTATAGTCAGTTGGGGCATGCCCTGTCCTCTGGCAGCTGACCTGGCCTCTGTCACATGATACTGGGGCCCCCCACCTGCTACCTGTGCTTTTGTCCCAGTGATCCAGACACACATGGCCAAGGCATTGACTCTCCCTCTTGGCAGGAAATGTCACAGTGCAAAATGGGTAGAAGGAGGTGATGATGGAAGACCATGTGCAAACAGCAAAGATGAAGACAGTGTCCTCAACTCACGGGATTCATGCCTGGGCCGGGTAGGTGTTATTCTGGAGTGTCAGAGTCATTCCCAGTGGGTCCTGCTGAGTGGCACTGACGGTGCGTGTGGGGGCTGTGTTGGGAAGGTGACTGTAATGTTCCTCCACTGACGAAGAAATGGGGCACAGGGCACATGGGGCTGTGGGTGGTGGTGGAAAGGAGACGGGTGAGGCTCCAGGCTGCAGCCCAGGAGGCCTTGTTACAAAAGCTTGTTATGATATTATTATTACTGTTATTTGAATCAGCCTCACATCCTCCTCTTCTTAATCTTTGAAATTTCACTCTAATAGCCCTAGTGAGTTTACTGGGAGGCTCCCCCTGCCTCTTTGGATTTCCTAGTGTAACTGCCATGGTAGAATGGAAAATATGTGGGTGAATTTGTATCCCTGGTCTAAGGATGATTTATTTAATCCCTTTTCAATTTCAGATGCATGTTGATATTTCTGTGGGAGTTCCCTGCATCATCCCAATTATATGGTCAAAGGGAAAATACATTTTAAAATTTGTAGCCGAGGGGGTTGCAACTTCAGCTTTTCTGATTAAATTAGGCACAAGGATTCTGGCAGCGTTAAGAGCTGAAATTGCTGGAGATGTATTTATTATGGCCTGTGGCCACTGTAGCAGGAATGGAATTTGTTTGAAGTTGTAGAGACAAAAAAGAAGGCCTGAGGATTTAGAGAAACACAGTTGTGTGGATATCTCTGTAGAGGGTGTCAAATACGTCTGAGGCCCAGGTGCGGGGCTCAGGTGGCCACAGGCTTTTGCTCTCTGTGAGACTCCCCACCTTCCCTCCCATCCCCTTTCATCCTCTTCCTCCACCTGCCTCAGTTTCCATTTATGTGCCTTTTCTTTCCTCTTTCTTCTTTCTTACTCTGCCCTAGGAGGAAGTGGCTATTTCAAGCCATTCAGTCATATCCTGTTCATAAATTCTGTGTAGAAGGCACACAGGATCTGCCTTGGGGCTCGACAGGGACAGGAGAAATCACAGGTCACTTTTTTCACAGGGTCAGGCAAAAGTTTGCCTCAGGACATGAAGGGAATATACAAGAAGGCAGCTCAAAAGCCCGAAAGTTTTTTATTTTTTTTAAAAAAAACATAATCTTTTTCATATTTTCATCCCCAGCATGTGCCCCAGGGCATGGCACAGAGTCATCAGAAGCAGGGGCTTTTCCCATTCTGAAGGTTTCTACTTGAGAGATGGAAGAGAGAAAGGAGGAAGAGGAGAGAGGACACTGCCTGGCTCACTGGTGGAAGGGGACTGACTGATGGTTCTGGGGAAGATTCGCGAAGTATCCACTCAGGGAAGCACAGAAACTACGGGGCAAAGATGTCCTTGCAGAATTGTTTATGAGCGATGTTTAAAGCATCTTATTTATTCAGTAAGAAAGCAGTTGTTAAAACTATAGTTCTGCCGGTGGACCACTCAGGGCCCATTCAGATAATGCAGGAGAACTTTACTTATTGATATGAAAAATATGCATGATATCTTTTTAAATTTAAACACAGACTTTGTAAAACAGCAAGTCCACTGTGATGCTCTTTTTGTAAAGGCATAGTGTATAACTATGGATGGAAAAAAAAATCTCGAGTGATATCCACCAAAGCTTTAACCAGGATTATTTTCCCTAGATGGTAAAACTTGAGGGTGCTTTGTGTATTGCCAGACTTTCTAAAAAATAGACTTTATTTCTTGGAGAAGCTTTGGGTTCAGAGCAAAATTGAGCTGGAAGTACAGAAAGTTCAAACATAACCCACCCCGCGGGCACCGCCGTCACGTGTTGCACGCCAGATGTGCCAACATTTGTCACAATGAGTGAAGCCCCAGAAAACATCGTTATCTCCCAAAGTGCATCGCTGATGTTAGGGTTCACTGCTCCTGCTGTATTCTCCGTGGGCACCGGCAAATGTACAATGCCATGAACCCATCATTATTGCGTAGTACAGAGTGTGGTCATTGTCCTAACAATCCTGCGTGTTCCACTTATTCATCCTTTTCCCTCCACTCCAGGCAAGTGCTGACCTCATTACCGTTTCTACAGTTTTGCCCTTTGCAGAATGTCTCACAGTTGGAATCACGCAGGGTGTATCGTTCTCAGTCTGGCTGCGTGCACTTACTTACTCATGTGCAGTTAAGGTTCATCCACATCTTTTCATGGCTTGGTAGTTCCTTTGCTTTTAGCTGAACGACCTCTCATTTTCTGGATGTATTACAGTACGTTTTCCCCTTCATCTGCTATAGGACCTCTTGGTTGCTTCCAAGTTTTAGCAGCCATGAATAAAGGTGCTGTAAACATCTGCGTGCAGTTTTTTTCTATATGAGCGTACATCTCCAACTTATTTTTTTTCCTCATTGAGTTTATTGGTACATTTTAGATATACAGTGCAGTTACATTCTTCATTGGGATCTTGTACCTTTACAGGACAGGTGTTGGTTCTCATTTTTCCCTTTGTCCCTGCCCTACCTTCACCCCCTCTTCCCCTCCCCATTTACAAACACTTTATTTCCTTTTTTTTCATTTTCTTATCTCCAGTTTATTTAGGTAAACACCAGAAGCACAACTGCTGATTAAGAGTATGTTTAGTTTTGTGGGAAGCTACCAAACTGTCTCCAAAGTGGTTGTGCTTTGCCTTCCCACACCCTCAGCAACATCTGCTGTTGTCAGGGTTTTGAACTCTTTTCATTCCAATAATTTTCTGACATTTAAAAATAATACACATTACAGAAGCCGGGTGTGGTGGTGCACACCTGTAATCCCAGCTCTTGGGAGTTTGAGGCAGGAGGATCGCTGGGAGTTTGAGACCAACCTGGACTACGTAGTGAGTTCCAGGTAAGTCTCAACTACACAGCGAGACCCGGTCTCCAAAAAAAAACCACATTACATTTTTTGGAATCAGAAAATTACTAAAAGTGTTATCAATTTGAAAATAAAATCTACCTCATATGAGGTACCTCATATGTGGCATCCAAAGTTAGCAGAAAAGTATAAGTAAATCAATTAATTTAGAAATAAATACATAAATTAATTTATTCCTGTAGTTCTAGGAATTGAACCCAGGGCCTCATGCGTGCCAGGTAAGCATTTTACCACAAAGTCAAACTCCTAGCCCTAAACCATAAACTCTAAGCCAGTAATTAGGGCCCTTTCCTAGGTACCTTCCCTTTCCTTCCTAATTCATAAACACACACTCATTTGCTTGATTTCTTAAATCAGTGAATCTTAAAGTGCCGATGCATGGCAGTCACCCGGGGATCTTATAGCAGTACATATTTCTAGGCTGCACTCCAAGTTTCCGATCCGATTAGTTGGGGTTGTGCCTGAGAATATGTGTTTCAAACAAGTTCCCAGGTGAGGCCAATGAAGCTGGTCTGGACCCCCCACCTGTGACCTGCTGAGAACCAGTTATATTAACTTATTCTAAATAAGATAAAAGAAAAAAAGGTACTTCAAAGTTAGAAGTAATGATTTCCTTTCCAGTTTGTCCAAAACTTCTAAAATAAGTATTCCTTAAAAAAATATGTGGCAGACTGTGAAAAAGAAAAATCTCCTTAATTCTGATAAGATCATTTTCTTCTTAAAATAGAAATATATATGAGTGAACATAAAATCTGTAGTGGCTCACCAAATACCTGTAGATTGAATTTCAACTAAAATCAATTCTTTCCTCTGAGTCCTTGTATATAAGGGATGTTTCTGCAAGCAACACTCACTACACTGTATTTCTTATTTAATGACCTGTGAAAGGACAATTTGAATTTACAACTGAGGTGTACTGTTTGCACTTACTAACTACCCACCACTTGGACTTAAAGGCAGTCTTTGTGTGTGTGTGTGTGTGTGTGTGTGTGTGTGTGTGTGTGCAGTTCTGTACATCTTGTTTATAGATCCTTGACGTCTTTTTTGGTACCGTATGCCTTGTTTATAGAGTACTGTAGTTTTTGCTGGCTGTACTATCCAGTACTGTAGCTTTATGTTCTGTCACACATTACAGCACTGTATATAAGTGTTACGCAAATAAAAGCAAAGTCGTCAAGCTGGAGTTTCCTTCGAGCATTTCTCTGTTCTGAATATTGTAATGTACATACCATGTATAGTTCCTCACTTAGTGACCAATTAATTTAAAGACCGAGTCACATTCCTGTGTGTGTAGGAATGTCTGTATTTGTGTTGCATGACATTTTTGCAATTGAATTTGATAAATTCTTGGCTTGAAGCCATTGCACAGAAAAAAAACTCACTATGGCTGACATGGTATTAAAGAATCTCAGTGGCCCAGAGAGGTGCAGATTTTCTTTGAAATTGTTTTGGGCACACTTTCTTGTCCATGCTCTGTGAGTGCCTCTTGTATGGCCCTCGTCTCATCCTCGGTAGGCCCTTCCCTCTCTGTCCGGTTGGGCGCTCAGTGCCCAGACTCTGGTGCCCTTTAACCCTTCCTTTGTGTCCCCTCACTCTTTTCAATGGACTGCCCTTGGTCTGTAACAGCAGCCTAAAGCCCAGCTGCCCCGCCTCCACGGAGGGGGGAGGCTCAGGCTGGAGCTGCCATCCAGGAGTTTTTGACTGAGGTAGACTTTAGCCTGGCCTCCTCCTCTCTGTGTCCTTTCCGCCTCACTCCTTCCTTTTCTGCCTTCGTAATGCTGCTTTTCTAACCATAAATCACCTGTCACAAATCTTTATTGCTGTAGCTCCATCTGTGGACATCTAAGCTATGAACCCTGTGAGTGGTGAAAACTGTGAGATGTACCTGAATGTATGTAATATGACCAGGATTATTACCAACAATCAAAGGGGCCGGGTGAGTTCCCTGGTAAGCAGTGATTCAAGGCTGTGTGGGGGGAAGGAATCACCACCTTGCCTGGAAGATGGAAAACATGGAGAAGGTAATGCTTAATAACACTTCAGGCAAACTATTGTCGGTACCCATGAGCTCAAGTTCTCACACCGGGTTTTCTTTTTCTTTTCTTTCTTTTTCTTTTTGTACCGGGTATTGAATTTGAGTCCTTGCGCTTGCGAGGAAGGCGGCAGAACACCTGAGCTTAATCCCTGGCCCCTCACACCAGGTTTTCTTGCCCCGCTTTCCCTCCCACGCCAACAGGCAAGCAACAGAATTGGTGGGGATGGGTAGCAGGCTGGGTCTGCTCAGCCCATCTGAGCTCAAAGCACGTGTGGGTGTTAGAACAGCCAAATGGTCCCGACCCTTAAGTGTGGCCCAGAAGTCAGAGGAAGAGCTGCCAGGGTGAAGGATGCTGTGACCATGAAGGGACTCATGTGAACAGACAGATGGGCTGAGGGTCAGTGGCACCTTTCCCAAAGCCTTGCATCCTCTAGGTGTCTTAGAACTTAGATGAGACTCCGGGGACAGAAGAGAGATACCTAAACTGACTGAGATAATGTTTTTCCATTACAGTAGAAATCTAATAGGTAGAGAAAATAAAATTTCCATTTTGTGTATCCACACACTTACGGACCATGCCCACTATAAATACAGGGATCCACACCAAATCAGTGGAATAGAATGTAGTCTTATGGTATTTGGCATAGTAAACTTTCATGGGTTCGTGTTGGAACTACAGTGCATGTGTGTATTCTTGTATAAGATAATGTCTTAGACCTTCAAGGAAGTAGAAAAGCTAGTTAAACCAATAAATAAGAAAAACCCTGTGCAAAAATTATGCCCTCATTTTATGCTTTGCTTTGACTTGTTTCATTTTTAAGCTTGCCCTGAGGCCACGTAATCCCTGACTCAAGGCTGGTGAGAATGAACAGGAAGAGTTTTGTTTAACAAAGCAGAGGAAGTCAACTGTTGAAGAAGCAAAATCTTCAAGGGATTTAATTTTTATGAACACAAACATATCATAAATCCTGAGTCCCTAATCTGGCCCAGATACTAAGGCAGCCCCCTGCACTCATATTTTTTAAATTTAAAAAAATTTTTAAATTCTTTTTATTGAGTTTATTGGTACAATCAAGGTATACAGTACAGTTACATTCATTATTGGGATCCTGTACCTCTACATGACAGGTCTTGATTCTCATTTTTTCCCCTTGTCCCTGCCCTCCCGTCACCCCCCCATTTACAAACACTTTATTTCCATTTTTTTGATTTCTCATATTTTTTTCCTCTCCCTTATTACCTTTCCTCCACCCTTCCCACTTTCCCTGCACCTTCAGCCCTTTACTTCCTATTTCACATTATTAATCCTGTACTCTTATAAAAATAAGAGCAGGGGACCTCTTTCCCTGCTGGTCACCCTTCTTGCCTTTCCTTCAGGGTTATTCTCAGAATGAAAGATGAGTGCACCAGACCCTTGCTCCTTAAAGGAGTTCGTTTTTTCCTTCCTATTTGTAATATAGGGAAGCTGATACTTATCTTACTAATTTTTAAGGCAATAGAAGACAGACAATATTAAAGGCTTGGTTAACACATGGACAGACAGAGAAAGAAAAC